CAAAAAAAAAAAAAAAAAAAAAAAATGCGTCCGATTATTCGATGTAGGAAAGTAAGAGAGATAAAAAAAAATGTACTGCTATTATCGATAATTGACAAGAGAGATCTTTTTCTCACAGTCTAAAAGATATTCGATGCTGAATCGGTTAATATAATTTCTGCCTTTCCACTTCCTTAACCCTACGATTTTTCTCAACGCGGGATCGAGCGTTCGCTTGACTGTAAAAAATTTCATTTTCAATTCGATTAATTTTATTTATCGATCGTTATCGACGATAGAGACGTACGCGTGTTTTAAAAACGAACGAAGAAAGAACGTTTTAAGGAACGATATTACTTCGATATTCACGATATCGATATCAATCATTTTCACTTTTCGTTATTAATTTCCCAACTATTTCAAATGACATCGTATAATTCGCAAAAATATCGATCCTCTTGCAACAACAAAGCGTCGATCCCTTCGTTTTTTCTCCCCTTTCTCGTAAAAAAAATCTTCAAAGTATCAAACGGGCATATACTCGTTGGTTAAATACACAAAAATTCAAATCTTTCGTTTACGAATTTCGTAACGTTCTATGCAGTTTCGTTCACACTGCGAAAAGTGCCAAGATCTTCGGGCAATCGTTTTCATTACCTATTTTACGATGCCCTTTTCGTCCCATTGCGACCACCGTCACCGTTATTTGATCGTCGAACGACTCTAAAACGAATCGATCTCACATCATCTTTCAATAGAAAGGCTTTCTTACAGCCTCATACCCGTCACATAGCCACCAAACAGTTTCATTATCGACGATTCTCGCGGTCGATCATCGACGATCAACGGTTCGTTCGAGCGTAATAGCTGCACATAGCCACTGTCGTCGAGTTCGTGTCCGGACGACCTGGATCTCGGCCGCCGTCGATTCAGCCTACGTATCGTATCGATGGGAAAAAGAAAAACGAAAAGGCGTGGATAGAACACGCGAGTGAAACGATAACACACGGTAGCAGTGACGTTACCGCGTCGGTAAGCACGAAATCGATAAATTGTGACGAATCGATCGAGTATCGGATGGATGAAAAATCGAAGAATTTGCCACGGGTCTCCAAACCCTACTGACAGAGGCAGGACACGACTCTTTCCGAACGAGGATGCAGCGAGTCACGATCAGAGAGCAAGTACTCTTACTAACACGGCGACTCGACGACTGGCGCCGCGTCGTCGAGCTCATTGGCTCTCTTTTGCGAGCCTCCTCTCACGCCCTCCGCCCCTCTCTACCGAGATCTATCTCGTACGCTTTCTGTCTTACCGCGGTGGCTTCGTTCCTTTCCTGTTCGCGACCTGTACGTGCGTGCTCTCTCTATGCATACGCCTGTCTCCTTCTACCCTACCAACCGACCTACGTGACGGCGCGGCGACGCGGCGACGCGGCGACGCCGCACCGCAACGCGCTCTCTCCCTCGCGTTTTATATCGGCCAAACTTTTTATCCTCCTCGAATTCTGCGCTTTGCACATTTTTCCAGCATTACATATAGATTGAATAAAAAAAGTTGCTTAAAAATTATACCGCTACTACTATACTATACTATACTATACTATTATACTACTATACTACTATACTACTATACTATTACTATACTATAACAAGAATATTCTATATATCGTACTGTGTGCTGTAATACTGTATTATATAGTTATATTATTAAACTCTATTATATAGTAATATTGTATTATTAGTTATATATAAATACTGCAGTATTTCGCGATTACCGTGGAAATAACATTTTTAAAAACATCTATTTACTTTGTCAATCGCATAGTATAATTCTTAAGGCATTGTAGCGCGAGATTCTTCTGCATTTACGACAGATCTAAAAGCGAAGCGATGCATAGAACGTATATAATATGCAAAAATATCGATATTATCCAAAGTATAGAAATTATTAGATGAAATAATTTTCTATCTAGATTACATCTTTTTAATTATATTCGGCAAAATATACAAAATATAAATATTCGATATTGCTTATTTTATTATTAATAAGCCCAATAAGCCGAACGAGCTTAAAACCAACATTTTAACTGTTTTATTATGTTTATTTTCAAAATAACATAGAAACAAACTAACTTTAAGTTATAAGATCAAATAAATTATTTTCGAACAATTTTCCACTTTAGTCGACTGCTTCAAACGAATTATGATAACGAATATTTTCGAATACGAATACGGATATTTTCTTCTGCCTATTTCTTTCATTTTTTCCCTTACTCTAGTTAATTGGTACTGTACTTGTTACTGCAATAGCAGGTATCATGGTGTTGTTTTTGCGAATATAGTTCTATGTATTAATTAGCCAATTAATATCGGAGAATAATTGGAGATAAGATCGAAATAAGATTGCGCTTCAGGGTATAATTTGTTTAATCTGGAATATAAAAATATTAGATATATGTATGCATACTTGATTTGCAAGTTGCTATTTTGTTAAACATTTTCCTTGCCAATAACAATACGTATATATTAATAATCAGATACTATGTATATTATTATTACCTACTACTTTAGATGAATGACGAACAATAGTTTGGTTTATTCATTGAGTAAGCTCGGTGGTTTAGTTCATATTCTTTACCTTCGGCGTACACAGTTATTGTTTGCACCGAAGGGTGGCGTTAAATACTCCGTCCTAATCAATCGATCCAAGCGTTCAATGACGGCCATTTGGTAAAACAATTCTCTCTGCGGTTAAGATATTTTTGCAAAAGCATTCTAGTTTCTTTTATACCAATCGTAAGATACCGAAAATCATTTATCTCTCCTAATTAATTCCTTACCTACAGTTGAACTAATAATTTATGATAATTACTCTATTCATTTATATCAATTTATTCATAGAATGTATTCATGGAATCAAGGGAGCAAGTGCAATTTAGAGCACAAAGGCAACCAGTTTTCATCATCCATTGATGCGTGCTACCATTGGTAAGTCGCATGGTTTCGTTTCTTCGACGATAAGTTCAATGTTCATGTATAATTATTTGGAACCACATGCTGTACCTATTCTAATTGATAAATTTCAGTACATACGCCGGAGACGCCGTGGAATGCGTGCGTTTTAGCCTTAATTATTCGTAAGATAGATTAGTCTATGTTAAGCGCATTGTAAGCTCATCGTGTACAATGATACTTATCCATCTTGCAAGGAAAATTAAAATTCTATTCTCTTTTTCTGCCGAAACACGCGTCCATTGATTCTTCCGAAAGATCGCGAACTCGTTCGTTCGTGCCGTGATTTTTATTTGATTTTCCGATTGATTGCAGTTTCTCTTTGGCTTCCCCCTACTTTTAGGGGGACATACAGCGTCAGTAGCTTCATTTTCTTTCTCTCGTCCCAGGTTAGACAAATGTGTCTTTGATGCCGAATGCAAACCAGTGGGGCTACGAATTATCGTACGATGTTTATAAAGATCGATATAATCATTGTGTGAGATATAGATATTGCGCGATGTATCCTTTGTTTGAAACTTGGAAAGATTCGTGTAAGGGCGATTCGTGGAAGATGAACGTTTATAATGTAAGATGTATACGCCCTTTTCTTCTTTTGTGTAGATCGTTTGACTTTCCGTATCTGCTTGTATCACCGTCATCCCTCCCACCACGCCACTTTGGAAGCTGCTCAGCGAAACTAAGGTGCGACGAGTCCATTCAGTCGTCTTCTTTTCTATCGATAACATGGATCACGTTGCGTCAGGTTTGTAACCTATTCTAACCTATTAGCGGCGTCACTTCTTCATTACTGTCATTACTATATTTTTTACTATCGTTTATATCTCGTTATTAATATCGTTTAATCAATCCACGTTTATTTAACGATTTGTCCAACATTCAGATAATGAAATTAGGTGGTTTTCTGAAATTTTTTGTTCGTATCTCTCTTTAATCGTCTATTTACAAAATGATATTGTTACCGGTAGCTTGTATCGTAAGCTTTCGTAATAAAATTTGAGTTTGATCGTATTTTCATGTAATTATTTTATACATTTCTAGTTTGTTTTTATGCAGGTTATCGATCGATGGCAGAGATAATATAGAAGTAACAGGAATATTAATATATGGACGCAACGACGATCAGTCTGATGAATTTTCATGGAAATCTGGTAACGTTTAATTTATTTTAACTAAGACAGCTGTGTATGAACGGTTCTATTGCCTTTTTATTCGAGCATGGCTAACATTTGATATACAATTTATGTCTACTTTAAAATATACTTGATACATATTTCATAATAGATCGTTTCGTAATTATTTGGAATATTAAGATGAAAGTAAATACGATTAAACAAATCACTTTTTTTCATTCAAATATATGAAATCATTCTCTTATTTCAAACGAACTTGTAACAAATTATTTTATTGTTTCAACCTAATTCATAATGTAGAATTCTTGATAATTTAACGATAGCTTCGTGTAGACAGTTTGAAACATAGAAATCTTAACAATAATAGCTTGAACTATTTCGATAGGTATTGTAACACACTAGGTATTGGTATATCGAATTCAAATTATTTTTCTATATTACGTAAATTTCCTATAGTTTCCGTCATATATTGCAACTTTGTAATTTGTGTCTTTTTCATAGAGGTGGCGCGCAAATAGACTGAAATACTTCAAAGCAAGGCTTCGCGCGCGTTTCTCTAGCATTCTTTAAGCATTCTTTTAGTTGTGAACTTTTGAATTCTTGGAAATATTTTCGGATATTTATAACACGCGACCGTTGTGTGTTAACTATGTCTCGTGTTCTAATAACGAACATTCGTGGTATGATTCTCGTAAATGAAATGATCGATTCCCAGTTTCGGTTAGGACAATAGTGGTGGTTATATGAAATATTACACTGAGATAACGGTTTACAATTCGCACTTTATTCCAACAACTTTGTAGAGAAGATAGTTGGGCTGGTGCGTATAGATAAGTCAAGTAGGTGACTGATCCAAGGATGGAAACCCGGTCAAGAGATGTCGACTGTTCTAAAGATGGAAAATCAGTAAAGTTCGGTGACGATGCTATGGCGAAGGAAAGCTAGCGATGGGTGTGTCTAGCGCACGGGACCATCGGATTTGTTGGTGACAGTTTTGACTAGGAAAGTGAGGACAATAGTCATTGCTTCTGATTGGATGAGAAAAAGGTCGGTGGGCAAGGAAATGTTCTAACCGCCCCCGAGAGAAAGTTGCTAGCCGGAGACACCGAACATGAGAAAAATCAACTTTCCCGTATCATTCCGTAGTAGACAATAAATTTAAGGAACACTTGAAATAAAAGAACTATGAAAATGCCAAGATTTATGGTGGGTCCTGAAGACTATCGAGGGTACGCAGTAACGATGCGTAGACAACTGGCTGTCATCTTGGCCGCGGATTGGGGCCTGGTTTGTGTACAGAGTCACCGGACGTAACATTATGTATTAACGATATAAACGATATCTTATGTTTTGTTGTAGAGATATCACAGCTTCAACTTTTCCGTCTTCTTTGGGAATGTTCTAACAGTGGCTCAGAAGCCAAGAACGTAAGTATCTTTACATATCGTACTTTAATTATGTCTATTCTGTATATTTCGTATATTTCGTATATTTCGTATATTTTGTATATTTTGTATATTTTGCTTTGAACGCTATTAATTAAGGAATACAATTTGATTAAAAATCTTCTCAGGTTATTTTTCTATTAAATAGGATCTTCTCAGGTTATTCTTCTATTAAAATAAAAAGAGTGTTAGTTAAAGTCTTAATATCGAATTGTAAAACAAATAACTAACATATTTCAGAAATTATTCTAGATTTTAAACTTTCATATCAGAGTTTCAGTTTTTGTACTTATCGAAGTTTATTAGCAAAGTTACAAATTCAATAAACTTGCATTTTTCATTATCTCCAGCTTTCCAAATAATCAGCAGTCATTCATCGTGTTTTGTTCTGCAACAGATTTTTCCTGTCTGATGTTAGTCTTGGCGATGACATTCGCTGGGATAGCGCGGCAATTCGATGGCGTAACGCTTCTGTTCCTCTGCTTCTAACGGTGAGTCGCATGCATTTCTGTTCCTCCGGTCACTCAATCGTGTGATAGGATGGAAAGATGCGAATCGGCGTGGGGTTGTATTACGTAGAACTTTTTGCGAGCATAATGACCGCGGATATTTTTTAAACTCGCGAGTAGTAACATTTTTCTCAAATCTTTATTTATTAGTTGAGGATAGGTCTTCTCGCACATCGCGATTATAATAATTAGTTTTTTAATAGTTAGTTGAAATATATACATTTGAGAATATACTCGTGGTACTTATAAATGTGTATATTAATATTCGGTAGAAATAGGCAAATATCGACACCTGAATATACCTGTGTCACATAAATATATTTGATCTTAAGCGATGAATTTCAGTATAAATAACGACTTCAGTATAAATAGTTTTTTTTCAATTAACTTCTTTTTTTTTAATTTTGCAATATTAAAAGTAAAGTTATTACAATATGAAACGAAGTAATAAAACATAAAATCAAAGAAAGTCAGTCCGTTAAATAAAAATTGGACAAACCAATCGTCATTTACGTGGCCAGGTGCTACTCGAACGGCAGGAACAAAAAATATAGTATTTACTTGAAGATGAATAAATTTTAGATTTTTTTGCGTGAAAGGAGGGTGGACGCAGCACCTCCTCGCGGCGAGACCCGGACAATCAGTATTATTTGATATATAATTACTAATTGTATCGCTATACAACAAAGCAATGAACTGTATAACTGATATAATTATTAATTATACGGCAAGTAATACGAGCTAATTGGCTGCGACCCTGACTAGGTTAGGCAACTGAATAGGTTCCGATCGATGCATCTATGATAAACTACGCTAGTGAAATATGATTCAGCCATAATTTTAAAGTGTAACTAATAATAAGTACCTTTAGTATTTGGTAGTAGATATATATATCTATCCATACCAGCCACGCGTACACGGTATAGGGTATAGTATAGAAACTAATAGGAGTAGAAAAATTAGTTGAAAGAAGAACTTGTTTTTCGAGGTCCTACTGTAATTTACTGTAATTTACTGGAATTTACTGGAATTTACTGGAATTTACTGGAATTTTTTAGGTGTTGCAAACACCAAATAAATATTTAAATTTCCAAATGCAAAGTTAATATAGAACCGTGCTGTAATTTTCTTGTGATAAGCTTCGTTTCTTTTCAACGGGGATGTACGTATCTTCGAGCTCGGGCTTTTCTCGATACACACAGGTATCTATCGATGCGCATTGTCGTTCTCTTCTTGTCGCCCTGTCTCTTTTAACAACCGCTTTAACAACTTTAATATCCCTCTTCTTCTTTCTCCCCCTTGTCACCCTCCCTCACTCTCTCTCTCTCTCTCTCTCTCTCGCGCGCGCGCGGTCGATGCGGTCGACTTCCACTTGGTCGAGCGTGATCGAAATTGATCTACGCGGTATAAAAGAGTACCGCCGTGCCGGTCGGGACACCTCGGTCGGCCCGATAGCAAAAGAGTTAATTATAAAGAGGCGAGCGACAAAATCCGATACGTCGTCATCGCGGTGGCTAACGGCGACGACCAACCAAGCCTTATTGTTAGTGCACGCTCGTTCGATCGCAAACTGAACGACACCCGGTTTATCGGACCACTAAGAGATCGATATACATATAGACGGCAGATAGGTCAGCAGAAACACTCGATTTCACGTTGAGATAAAAAAGCATAAAGCTAGCTTTTATTTGGGATTGGCGGTTTTAAGATTCGATTCGACCTACGAGTCGATATCGTGTACGCGGTAACGGCGAGAGCATGTTTTTCGATCGCATGTTTTCGATGATCGAGGGGACGTTGTATCGATGGAGAATTGCGATAACATTACTCTGTTTTGCTGCACACAGAGATATGTATGTCAACGGTTGAAGAATATCGTAGCTGCGTCGTAATATCGTGCTGCGAAATATCGTGCATACGATACGAATGAGAATTAGGACTAGCGATACGAATAAGAAGAGTACGTTTTTTGAAAGGTTGATTGGAAAAGCCCGAGTGAGCGTAAGAGGGACGACGAGGAGGGTGTCGCGTAAAATAACACAAGAGAACAACAACAACAAAAAATAGAAAAAAAGCTTTATTTTTTATTCGGCGGAAGGATCGTTGGGATATCGATGGCTCGTTAGGCACTTTGGCGATATACATTGTTTATACATGCCACGTCTTTATCTCCGATTTTAAAGTGAGCCGGTCGTGACAGCGGTCTGGTCTCTGATGTGAATTGACGTTACGAGGGAAAAGGTTGGCTGGGAAGTGCAAAGGAGATGCCAGGCGAGGAAGGTTACGAAGAAAGTTGGAGAGTTCTCTGCCTAGAGAAAGAGGCAAGTCCTAGCGAGATAGCCCGTACGATATAGTCGATCGATCGAATAATACGCTTGCAAAATTTTGTCGTATTTGGTTATATATTCTGTTTATATTACCAGGTTAACTCACTCCTTTGCCTGTATCGCAAAAATTTCTGTTTCGTATATGGTTCTGTATTTTCTCTTATTGCTCTTTACGAGCTTACATACGATACTTACATATACGTATACGCTGTTTGTACGATATAGATTATAACGCAAAGGCAGAGCGCGATTCAATGTATAGTTGTCTCGTATGAATTGACTCGAAGACGCGGATTAGACGTAAACAGGGAATTCTTCGAAATAAAATTCCCATTTTACAACGCGATACGAGCTTGTTCGTGAGATCGTCAACTTAAACGAAGAAACAAACAAAATATATAATATTTCCACTCACCGTGCAGTCCATGGTAAAACCTTGGTGCCCTCCAAACTGATGCTCCTCAATTCGTATTTGGATCTGTGTCGAAGCGGTGAACCAGGCGCGGCGGTGGTCGCGTGGAGAACGTTTCTCATACTCTTGGCGCTACTTCCGGTGAGCGCGTGTCTCCTGCCTGTTGCACCCTCCCTCGTCGATTGGTTTGTCGATCTCTTCAAAGAACTCATCGCTAATACGAAGATTTCCTTCTTAACCAGCAACTCTCTCGCATTCTTTCGAGTATTCAATCTCTCAACGACTTTTTCGTAAAAAGCATCGATCAAAGAAATTTCGATGTTCGTCTCTAACAAGGTACATACGTATCGGGAGAATATTGTTTCCAAGATAACGTCACTTATCCGGCGATTATTATTATTATCCGGAGAGAAGTTTTTAGAGGAAATTACTCAAAGTATCGTCCGTTTCAAAAAAATAACATGGACAACGTAATTGTTTTATACCGTTTCAGGATGGTAGCTCCTTCTTTCTTAAAGTATCGCAACTAATGTTCTCTCGTCCACTTTAAAATTATTTCACCGATCGATACGATCGAAATCTTATAGAAATCTTATAGAAATGTCAGTTTCTTTAAATTACGTTCAACTGGTCTATTCGAGAAAACAGATAGACATTTTTCCAGACCATTTCACCAATTGTTCATCCACGTACTTTGATTTTCGGATAGACGGTTTCGAAGACGGGTTTACAGTGAATTTGAAATAATACAATTAATCGGGAACTTGAAAAGCAGCGCGTTTCGACACAGCGAAAAGTAGCTTCAAAGGTATTCCTGGCAATTCTTTAACGGCCCATTCGCAAAGTATCGGCAAAAGAAGCTTCCATCGCTGGCTAACCGTCGAATTCCTCTTGAAATTTTACGTCCAATTGCCCGCCATTCAAAGACCATCTTTTAACGCGTCTTCCTACTTTCCAAAGATTCGCTTCCATCGGTCTTTTACTTGAACATACAACTTGCTTTAAGTACAGTTCCTTGCACTGCAATTTATAGACGATGGTGGAAATATCAGGTCAGTGGAACCGAAGAAGATTATCCTGTCCCATGTTATAAATTAATATTCTTCGGAACAACGTGTATTCCGAGCATTTTGTCGTGACCAGTATTTCCTTCAGACCAGACTTTTTGTCATTTATATAAGGTACCATTGGATAGCATTAAGGTACCATTAAGAAACGAACGTTTCTTCTATATCGTTAATTTACTTTCCCACGAAATTTTACATCGAGATCGCTCTGCGTTCTCAAACTCGACTCGGATCGAACGTTTCTTCTTTCTTGAATTTTTTACAGAATAGAGCTACTTACTGATCGCTATCGCGTCTCCAGTGATTCACCGATCGTTCGTATTCCATTCGCTTATTCGAATGTAAATTTCTGTTCCCTCAGAAACCCGTCAAATCACTCTTCTACGTCTTGAGATTTCTTATTTCAAACGATCAATTATCAATTTTCTTGCCCGAATTCTTTGTAAAAGCGAATCTACGACCACGGAATATCTTTATCCTTCGTAGAAACATCGTCGAATCTCGGATAATTTCATCCTCGATTTGGTACATTCGTACTTCCGAAGCGATTTTTCACAAACTAGTATTAGCGATAATAATAAAGTAATATCATTGCGTATATTTTCTCTTTGCAGAAGCGAGAGTCGATCTTGATCGTAAGATAACTTTGCAATCTGTAATTCAATATCCCACTTGGATAAATATCATCCGATATCTTGGCTTCTCTAATCTTCTTTGTTCGAGAACTTTCTAGAAATATCGGTCTCTAATCGCCGAACCACTTTGCAACAGCACCAAGTCTCCGGTGATTCGTCAAAATCCTCGATTCAGTATCGAATCTCGTAAAATTTGTATTTTACGATTTACCATTTATTCCCGCCTTCGAGTCTTCAATATCTTGGAACAAATCCTCCCTTCTTGGATGATCTTTCTGGAAAAACAATCCTTCCCTTCATTGCAAAAGCGAGTCGCCGATTACGGACTAGCTTAAAAACACCACCGATCGAACAAACGAATCCTCGATCTTGCGAAATCTTGGATTCGATATCGAATTTTCTCTTCCTCTCTGTCGGCTACGAAAATCGAACGTCAGCTACCAAATATTCTCCTCTTCGAGTTTCTTTACTCTTCAAAATCGGTTGTAGAATAATTCGGACCAACTATCGATCCTGCAACGATTAATCGCTGTTCCCCGAA